ACACAGCAGGCCAAGCAACATCATAGGAGCAGGAAGGCTGACGTTTCCAGCCTAGACTTTCTGATGAAGGGTCTAGGCCCGAAACGTCAGCCTTCCTGCTCTTATGATGCTGCTTGGCCTGCTGTGTTCATCCAGCTCTACACCCTGTTATCTCAGATTCTCCAGCATCTGCAGTTCCTACTATCTCTGATACCTTTTCTAAAGTGCGCAACTTATGCTGGGACCTGAAAAGATCATTTATTAGCTGGAACACTACTGCCCTCTTTTGGCTAATAACTGTATACACATAGAGTGGACAAGTGTTTCAGTCAAGTTCTCATATTTCTGCGAGTGGAGGGACTTCTGCAGAAACAGCAAAGGACGCTGCAGGGAATCTTCAGGGAACCATTGTGACTACTTAATAATTAACATTCTGCTTAGATTTTCCATCATGCCCTTAAATTTTAAATCCAAAGTGTACACACTCCCTGGAGATTGAATTGCTGTGGCATGAAGCAGGATACTTAAATGAACACTATAGTTCCTCCATCCTTTCTTGACATACTAGGAACCATTCTGACACTTAACATCAACTGTCTTTAATGACACAAGTTTAAAAACAAGGAAGCAGATTAATATTTCCGTAACAATTCACAACTCATGATGTCCTAAAGCACTCGACGGCCAGTGGAGTACTTCTTAAAGAGTGCAAGCACTATTGTAATGCGAGAAACATACCAGCCAACTCACATACAGAAAACTCCTTCCCAAGGTGACATGACAATTTCTGGGATATTTACCCTCATTAAAAGATGTACTGCATATATGAGAGCAACAGTAGTGGCTCTTACCTTGGCAGTAGCCTATCTGGGGATTATACTTGGCATATGCAGAGAGGATCCTAAAAAGTTTCGCCTGGCCTTCTTTTGCTTCTGGATTTTTACCCATCAGGGAACAGTGAGTGGGAAATGATCTCTCTGCAAGAAAAGAAACAATAATATTACAAAGTGTACTTAAAGGAATTGTCTTTTACATATTCCATAAGAATCTCTAAGAAATATTTGTGCTCATAAAAATCATTAGCTTATGGATTGGTTCCAATAGCTGCAGAAGAGATGGTAAATTCTAACCACTCAGTTTTTTTTTAAAAACAGGAAAGACTGAACAGGTTGACTTTTTTTCCCTAGAAAATACCGAGGGATTACCCAATAAGAACATTAAGTTCAACAGAGTAGATACAGGTGTTTCTATGGGGTATCACAATGATGGGACGGCGGTGGGGGGTTGGGGGGGGATAAAGCAACAGATTTCCTGAAACAAGTACATGTTGACAGTTAGAGACATGAACATGTAAAGATATGAGTGGATAGTCTAATCTCACATTAGTTTAAATAGGATTGGATAATATAGTCACGTGTACCAACTTAGAACACGAATTATGCAACCAGGCTTGAGTAGAGATCATGGTGAGTAATGTGTAATCTTTTTATTGGAAAGTATTATCTGTTAGAATGGTCAATTGGAAGCTGACTGTGAAACAATATAAAACCTTTGCTGTTATAATAAAATTTGACCTGCACACCATTTACTTGATGTGCACATCTCACACATGTATATGAATAAATATTTAAAGAACCAGAGTCTTGTCTGGTCTTAGAGGAAATAAAGGGTTAAACGCACTGTTTCAAAACTTTAGGAGCCATGTATAAAAAAATAGCATTTTATTAGTGACTATTAGAAATATCAAAAGGAATTACCCAAGACTGATTAAAGATAGAGTTCACTCCCACCTGAAGCTGTCACAGAGGAACAGATGCTATCAAGAGAAGATAGATGAACATGAGGGAGAGCGGAACACAAGAATATACAGTATTGATAGAATGAGATGAAGTAGAGTTGAATACAACCATAGATCAGTTGAGCTGAATAGCCGGTTTCTGCGTGTTACAATTCTGCTGCCCACGTCCTAACTCATACCAAATACTATTAACCCAGCACAGTTGTGTTCACTGACCCAGACTAGCTCAAAGTCCATCAATACTTGAAGTTTAAGATTCTCATTCACATTTTCAAATGCCTCCAATGTCCTTGCTTTGCTTGGTCTCTAACATTGCTCAGTCCTGCAACCCTCTGGGATCTGCGCTCCTCCAATTTTAGTGATGTGCACACCTCAACTCTAGCATTGGCAGCTGTGCAGTCAGTTACTGGGAAACTAAGCTTTGGAATTCTTCCAGCAAAATTTCTCCTTCATTTAAAAGAAAAGCTCCCAAAAACCCGAGATGGGTATAAGTTTGAGTAATTACACTCCTGCGAAACATCTTTAAATGCTGACTATGTAAAAACTAAATGATTTTTTCAATAACCAAAATACTAATTAAACATTAAGTTTATCAAATGATTTCACTGTTGCAAAAATAAAAAGATTTGATTGACAGTATTTAATCGAGGGGACCTTCTTATCCCTCTAAAGTGAAGTCTGACACAAAGAAACATGAAAAAAAAACAAGTGTGTTGGGTTAGGGCTTGAAGTCACACATCTTGTGGTGTGAATCCCTTTTTGCTGCAACTGTCAGTTCAAACATAATTGGCTCTGACTTGCTGGGTGTGTGAACCAATCTAGTGGGAGGAAAGCAACTGGGTTAACAGTCATCACTTGACCTGATTAAGGTTCAAGAAAGAAAATGAAGCAACAGCAGAAAATCAGATGAATTGGAGTCAAATCAGCTTCAAAGAGACAAATAAAGAAAGGCGAAGGAAAAATTGAGGCGGCGACAGAAAGGAAACAAGAATAACCAACATCTGACATTTTGAAATCAACAATTTGTTAGTTATAGGAATCAGATTAATGGCTTAAATTGTTTGCTTTTTGGGCTAGAAGAGTTCATTAGTATTGCATGAATTATCAATCTATTAAAGGCTCTCAACTTCCAGCCCTAAATTTGCTGCCCCTCTCTTTACCCACACACTTGTATCAATCTGAAATTAACACCTTAGTCCTGTACTTCCTGTTTTGTCCTGCTTGTATACCAGACTTTCAAGTTGAATTCAGCTATCAGAAAGGTGCAATGCTAACAAGGTCAGCATCCCTAATTGGCTTAAGGTAGCAGTTGGTGAGCTGTTTTATTGATCAATGGCAGCATACAGGTACACCCAATGTTAAGGAAGGATTTCCAATATTATCTCTTCTCACCCTGCCACTCCAAACAGCCCTGCATCGATCCCATGTTTATTTTTCTCATTGCGGCCCTGTATCCATCCAAAAAGTTCCCACTACCCTGCTTTGTACCATCAGTCCTGTGATAATTCAGCTGTACTGCTCTCTTAGCAACACAATGTTTGGCCACAGACTGTCTGCTGAGGAATCAAGTCAAAATAGTCAGTGACTGGTTCACTTGTTCCACCCACACTTTGACATGCATTAGTCAACCATTGACCAGAAAACATAGTCTATGTAAGCGTGGCATTCAGTAGCTGTGCATGTGTTGTACAAGGGTTGGTAGCATAAAGTTAAATCCTTCAGTAATTATACTTTAAGTGTCAGTTATGGTCAACTAGCATGACACCTGAACATTATTTCAGACATCCTACTACAAACATGCTGTGCATTCAAATACATGGATTACCAATCACCAGGTACATAGGTTCTGCTTCTCCGGTCACATTCAACATACTTTATCATATATGCCACCACCCAATAACAGAAGAAACAGAAGTAGGTGCAGGCCATTCAGTCCTTCCAGTCTGGTCCTGCCATGGCAGGACCAATCTCCTGTCCCATTTCCCCAAGTCAAAAGAGAATTTAATTGATCTCAGTCTGGAATATACCCAGTGACTGAGGATCCAAAGTCCTTTGTGGTAAAGAAATCGAAATACACATATACACACCCCTCGGTGGAGAAATGTTTCCTCTCAGTCCTATACGTTTAGCTCTTTTGAACTTCATCACCTGTAAAGGAGGAACAAAGCCATCATGATCACAACTTAGCCACCTTACCAACATCTAGGACAATCTGTCTTAATGTTTCAATGGTGATCTCGGGGTTGCGATTAGGCATCAGGTTGGGAGCTGTGCTGTCCGTTTCTGCCCTCTCTCTGTCTGCATTGTCCAGCGTAGAGATGGCCACCTGCACCCCATACTCAGTCACGCCAAGGCTTGCCAGCTGACTGCGCAGTTCCTGCACATACTCCTGCAAGAAACGTTGAGTTGTTTTTAATCCAAGTCATCAAGTTAATTTGTCTTCAAGCATTTCTCAATAAAACACCAGTTAGGCCTCAGCTGGAGCATTGTATTCAATTCAGTGCAATACATTTTAGAAAGAATAGCAAACTCTAAGGGAAGGTGCAGAGGGCACTTACTTCCTCGAGAGAGGGAGTACCACAGTTAGGTCTAACAGACAGATGTTGGAAATGTTCTCCTAAGATCAGGAAAAGTTATGGAGAGACGTGCACAAGTGTTAAAAATTGAGAGATTGTTACAGAGTAAATAAGGGAAACTCTCTTTCCAGTGGCTGAAGATTAGTAACTAGAGGACAACATTTTGAATTTTCGCTCTTGGAGACAAAATTCCTCATCTCCACCTTACGTGGATGACTCCTTACTCCAAGATTATCGCCTCTGGTCCTAGATGCTCCCATAAAGGGCAGGGTGGGGGAGAAATAAACAACCACTTTGCATCTAACTTGTCAAGCCTAAGTATCTCATATGTTTCAATAACATCATCTTTCATTCTTCTAAACTCCACTTAATACAGACCCCAACTACTCAGTTTCTCAGAAAATCCCTCCTATACCTGGGATCAACCTAGTCAATCTTCTCTCGACTGCTCCCTATGCCAGTACATCTTTCCTTAGATTGCAGGACAAAAACCATTCGAGGTATGGTCTGACTAGTGCCCTGAATAGTTTTAGCAACACCTCCCTATTTTTATACTCCATTGTCTTTGAAATAAAAGGGTCAATGAATGTACCTTTCCTATTACCTGCTGAATTTGGATGCTATCTTTTTGTAATTCATGCACAAAGGACACACAAACCCTCTTTGCTGCAGCTTTCTGCAGTCATTCACCATTTAAATAATATTCAGCTCTGCATTTCTTCCTGCCAAAGTGCACAACCAGACGTTTTCCCCATGTTATATTCCATCTGCCAAGTTTTCATTTACTTGATCTACCAGTCTATGCCCCTCTGCCAACTGTCACCTTCAATACTTGCCTACCCACCTTTGTCTCATCTGCAAATTTGGTGGTGGCATATTCATTTGTCATTCATGTCACTAATATAGAGTCACAAAATCCTTATAGCAGGCCATTCGACCCATTGAGTCCACACTGAACTTCTGAAGAGCAGCCCACCTTACCATATCCCTGCAATCCTGCATTTCCCAAGGCTAACCCATTTAGCCTATTTACAATACATTTTGTGAATGCTTGTGACCTTACCACTGATCCCTGTTGTACTCCACTTGTTACGGTTTGCCATCCTGAAAATACTCCCTTTACTTCTACTGTCCATTAGTTAGAGGATCCTCTGTCCATTCTAATAAACTATCCCTAATACCATGTTTTACCTTATTATGTAGCCTAGTATATGGTACCTTATCAAATGTCTTTTGGAATCCAAATATATTACATTGATTGTTTTCCCCTTATCTGTTGCTTCCTCAAAAGAACTTCAATAATTGAGACGTTATTTCACCTTTATGAAGCCATGCTGACTGTTTTATTAAATAATGTATCTCTAAATGCACATCTATTACATCCTTTTTAAACAGATTATTTTATCCAACAGTAACACCCATGGATTTCCAGAAAGCTTTTGTTACAGTGCCACACAGATGTGCAATGAAACGGATGCGTCATGGTATAAAACAGACAGTAGCTATATGGATGCAAAATTGGCTGAATGATTGGGAAAATATCCACTGAGCATTACTGTTCCTTATCTGAAGGAAAGTTTATAGTGGAGCTCCCCAGGGGTTAATATTGGGACCCTTGATTTTCCTGGTGTATATTCATGATCTCGATCTTGGTGTGTAGGGGGACAATTTCAGAGTTTATAGATGACAAAACTTGGAAGGATTGTAAACAGTGAGAACAGTGTAGAACTCAGAGGACATTGACAAGTTAGTGGAGTGGGCAGATAGGTGAGAGATGAGGTTCAATGCAGAGAAGTGGGTGGTGACGTACTTTGGTCTAGAGAACATTGAGACATGATATAAAATAGAAGGTATAATTCTAAAGTGGGTGCAGGAGCAGAGGGATGCGTGTATATGTGCACAGATCATCGAAGGTGGCAAGAAAGATGGAGAGAACAGTTAATAAAGCATACAGTATGCTCAGCTTTATTAGAGGCATAGAGCACAAGAGTAAGGAGGTGATGTTGAACTTATACAAGGCACATATTAGACTTCTGCTGCAGTACCATATATAGTTGTGGGCAACATGTTATAGTAAAGATGTGAATGCACTGGAGACAGTGCAGAAGCAATTTACAAGAACGGTTCCAGGAATGGTAACCTTCAGTGATGAGGACAGATTGAAAAAGTTGGGACTGTTCTCCTTGGACAGGAAGAGGCAGAGGCAGAGAGAAGATTTGATACAGGTTTTCAAAATCATGAGGGGGCTAGATCTTGCTCATAAAAGAAGTGAATGAGAGGACATAGATTTAAATTGATATGCAAACAAAGCAAGGGTAATGCAAGAATAAAAACTTTTTCCCATACTGAGAGTAGTTAGGGCATGGAATGCACTGCCTGGAATTTTGGTGGAAGCAGGTTCAATTGAGACCATCAAGAGGGTGTTAGGTGAATATTTGGTTAGAAAGTGTGTAGGGTTTTGGGGAAAGGTACTAGGTAATAGAACTGGTACAGGTACCATAGGCTGAATTCCTCCTTCTGCACTGTAACAATTCTGTGACAGATGCTAATTGAACTGGTCCACGGTTAGCTGTTCTTCGTCTTCCTTTTTCAAGAAGAGTGAAACATTGAAATGGAATTGAATTAGTTTTGTTGTCACATGTACTCAAATGAGTAGAATGAAAAGTTTTAGTCTGCACATTACAGAGCAATCTTAGGTGGAAAAGTACCTAGGTAAAGATACTGAAGATCAAAATTTTCCAATTCTCTAGGACATTTCCATGATCTAAAGATTTTTGGAAGATTACTACCAGCTCTGTAGCTACTTCCTTTAAAATCTTAGGATGCAAACCATCAGGTCCAGGAAACTTATTGGTTTTTAGCCCCATTAATTTCCCCAGTACGTTTTCTCGTGACATTTATCGTGTTTCTTTCCTCCCCCACTTTAGTTCCTTGATTATTTAGAATTTTTGGAATGCTATTCTTGACTTCTAAAGTGAAGACCGATGCAAAATATTTATTCAACTCACCAGCCATTTCCTAGTTCCCCATTATTATTTCTTCAGTCTCATCCTCCAAAGGGCCTTTGTTCACTTTGTCCTCCTTTTTCTATCTATCTATAAAAAGCTTTTTTTAAACAAAAAATTACTTGCCCATTTCCCCTCAGTTTATGTTTCCCTCCATTTCATTGGCTTTTAAAATTTTCCCAAACCTTTGGTTTGCCACTAATTTGTCACATTGTATTTTTTAAGCTTAGTTTGATATTAACCTTTGCTTCCTTCTTTTATCCCCTTCCTAGAACCCTTCATCACAGGGAGATAGTCTTGCTAAGAGTCACAAAATATTTTGTTAAACATCTGCCATTGTTCCTCAACCAATTTTCTGCTCAATTCCTTTCCTAATCTACTATAACCAACTCTGCCCTCATTCTTTTGTAGTTGTAGTTTTGTAGGATCAAATTTAGCTTTTGATCCAAGTTTCTCCCTCTCAAACTAGATTCGACCATGCTATGGACACTACTCCCGAGCGGACCTTTTACTCAGATCAGTTATTCAGACCGCCTCACTACATAGTACCAGATCCAAAATAGCCTGATCCCTGGTTGAATCCACATTATTCTAGGAAACTGTCCCAAATATACTATGAAATCTTCCATGTGACTACTTTTGCCAATTTGGTTTTCCCAATGCACATGAAAATTAAAGACACCATTGATTAATACACTTTATTTTCACTCCCTGCCCAAGATGTCATGATAGTATTTAGAAGAATAGCAGGGAAGTTCTCAACAACTCTTTGGTAAATATTTGTTCAAACAACAGCATTAAAATTATAGCAATGCTGCATATAGAAGCATGCTGTGTGCATATTAACTATTGCGTTCAGTGCCACATTACAACAACAACTACAAATATATTTCATTGTCTGTAAAGTATTTTTGGAGATCCAAAAGTTGTGAAAAAGACTGTATAATGAATATCTGTCTCTTTTCAATAATAACGTGTCCAGTATGATATTCTTTTTAAAAACCAACACGCATGCACTGTAGATCAAAAATAGCTTTTCTCACCTGGTAGGTGTGGGTAGTACTCTCTTTAACTAGGTCACTACCCAAAAGGCATTTCCACAGACGACCACGTACTTTGATGGGAACACCATCTTCAAGGAAGATATGCATCTGAAAAAGGTTTCAGTTAAAAATGACTGAACGAAACGATCACATGCAGCATCAAGCTAACTATGAAGTAGAATACACAAGGAGTGAATTCTTTTGCACATTAACAGAGACAGGTTTTCAAAAAGACTTTGAACTTTGTGTTGAGGGATCAGGATCAACTTTCCCCTCTCTCATACAGACCAAAGCTGGATCCAGATTACTCGATAATCCTTATCACTGCTTAAATATCAAGAATGTCCAGATGTATGTCTTAATAAACTGTAGAACAGGAGCTCATATCACATTTGAGCAGTTGAGTTTTTTTTAAAAATGTTTGGAAACACTAAGGTGGGATTGCTACGTGACATTTACTTGGTTGGATCATTTTTAAAAAAAATCAAGTTCACTGTAGCTCTTTAGTGAGGAAACCACCTTTCCCAGTCTGCACCCAGTGTGACTCCAGACCACACTAATGTGATCATCGTTAGCAACTCCTTTGTCTGTCCAACTGTTCTTCTCTCTCTTTAGGCTCTATCCTACTGTTTTCTCCCTACCCGACTCTCCCTCCCTATTCTTTGCATATAAACTGATGTTTTCCCAGCCACCATCAGTTCTGAGGAAGGATCACCGGACCCAAAATATTAACTCTGTTTTTTTCTTCACAGATGTTGCCAGACCTGCTGAGCTTTTCCAACGACTTTGTTTTTGTTCTACTCTAATGTGGCTTGCTTCATAGAAAAGAAAAATACTGAGGATAATGGAAATCTGAAATAAAAACAGTATGTGGCTGGAATGAACAAAAGCAGAGTCATACTGGACTCAAAATGTTAACTGTTTCTCTCTCTATGGACCGGCCACGTTTCTCCAGCACTGGCTTGATCCTTAAACTGTTAAAATGGCTTAGCAAATCACCCTGCTGTATCAAAACTATATGAACCACCCAGATTGCAGGGTACATACGCCTACCATCACCTTCTCAAAGACCATGGTGTTTACCCTAGTACCATAAATCCAATAACATGGTTATTATTGAATCAGAGATAGTAGGAACTGCAGATGCTGGTGAATCCAAGACAACAAGGTGCAGGGCTGGATGAACACAGCAGGCCAAGCAGCATCATAGGAGCAGAGAGATTTGTCAATAATTCCAATCTCTATCAATAAATCAAAGCAGACCCAAGGCATGAGGTGATGAAATCCCAAGTGCTGGAGAGCTCTGGGAACAATAGATCAAACCTCACCTGTTCCCTACATGTTCATTGCACTCGTGTATTGCATCATCACACTCTACCGCCCATCCTAAAATATGATATACAAGGAATCTATCTACTGTGCTTGTTATTGAATCAGCACACTGACCTCCCATGTCTCCACAGAGATCCCATTGAATACCCTTCACTCACTGAAAATTCTTCCCATAGATTAGCTTTGAATTTATCCCCTTCAAAACTCAGGCTGATTTCCTCTGGTTCTACTATTCCAGACAAAGTGAAACAATTCATTATGCATCACTGCACAATATTTAGCATAAATAATGCTGTGTTATATTGTCTGCTTTTGTGGTCATCATGCCTACACCATTGCTGCTTTGTGACCAACCACGTGAGAGAGATCAGTGGCGGGTAAAGTCACCATCTAATTTTGTCCACCCTTCTTGGGTTTTGGAATGACCTCGCCGCTACTCGACCCTTGCCTGCTGCCATGAGGTGAAATTAGAAGTTTGCAGGCTGGAAATACATGGGATGAACTCAATTACTTCCATGTCATTATGTACACGAATAACTCGACCATCCAAAATGGATCTTCTTGAAAGGACCGATGAGCTGGCATGGAGACTATCCAGTATCTTCAGAAAAAAAAAAAAAAGAGACAAACAGTCTACAAATTCCCTCCTCGAAAAGGAGGGAAATCACGAACATCTTTTAGTTTCTTTTTACAGGTCAGACTAGGCTTGAGCTTCAATCACTGTCTCCATTTGAGGGATAATGGAGGTCAAGAAGAAACGAGAACTTCACATTTATGACGAACATGCTTACAACTGGTTCACAACATTTTTTTGAAAAAAAAAATGCACATTTTAGTAGTTTACAATATTCACTTTACCTTATCCATGCATGATGCACCAGCCTCATTCCAATTGTTAAGCATTTTCTGCCACGATTCCAGCTTGGAAGCACTGACACTTGGGTAACTGTGAACCGAGGTAAAAGATGTCAATCCGGAAGAACAGAGTGAGATGGGGAAAGAGACAGGCAGGGCTGACAGGAGAGAGATGGAGAAGGGCACTAACAAAGGGATTCATGAGGACAGACTGAGAAAGAAGGGGGAGGAGTATGAGTTAAACAGAGATATAGGCAAAGAACTGAAAGAGAGATAGACAGGGTGTGATTAAAAGGGGGAAATTAAAAAGAAGTCAAGAAATAAGGAGAGAGAGGAGAGAGCATGAGTGAATATTTTGAATTAAAACAATATCTTTTACAACCTAAAGTTATCCCTAAGCACATTACAGCCAATTAAGTGAGTACAGTCACTGTTGTAACACAAAGAAACCAGGCAGCCAATTTATGAACTGCAAACAGTCACAAAGAACAATGACATAAGTGAATAGATAACCAGGTAGAATTTTCTTGCTCTTCTCCAAAATGGCAACATGGAATCCACCCGAGAGTGTGAGCAAGGCCTTGGTTTCATCCACACAGCAGCATCTCTCATACTGAATCTTAGCATTGAGGCTGGGAATGTCAACCTGAATAATGCACTTGGATTTCTGCAATAGGAGCTTCTGGGTGTATTGAAATTACTACTACTAAACCATGATTGACATAGCAGGTGAAAATATTCCCTGGTGTAGTGTAGAAACAAGTGAATAATTGCCAACCCTTTTAACATTCACATCATCAAATTTTCATTTTGAATTCAAAATGAAAAATCTGGCAGACTGTAAAACAGAAAGCCGATGTGTTTTGTGTTGAAGAGAGAGAGAAAAAAAATCACACCATTACGTTTATATTTTTCACGAATTGTTCAAGAACGTACATCATTTTTGATTTTAATTCAAGGATTTTGCCAGCTACACTCTCGTTATAAAGTCCCAGAGGGATTTAAAGTAGTAATGTCGACTAAACCTAATGCTCTCCCCTTAATATTTTGCACAGCAGATTGTAACGAGACTCTCAGAAATTTGCGAGAATTTTTCAGTGGAAAATTGTGCTGTTCTACCAAATTCTGGGCCATGTTTAGGGACACAGGAACAAAAGGAGACAATTTAGCATCGCAAACCTGTCCGGCCATTCAGTGAGATCAAGGGCGACCTGTAACCTCATCCTTTCCTCACATGTATTCTTTTAAAAAAAAAGAGGCTGAACAAAAATCTATCAGTTTCAAAATTAAGACCTGATCAAGACTTATTGCCCCATACTGAAGAGAATTCTAAATTCCATCAGCGTTTGTATGAAGCGGTAGCTATTAATTTCACTCGCTGAACGGCCTGGCTTTAAATTAAGACTACTGTATCTGCTAGTCATCGACTCTGGAAGCAGTAGTAGTAGGTTCCGTTTCCATTTTCCAATGAAGGTAAAATTACTGGTGAGCAAATTTAGTGACCTGATTTCAGAGCAAGGTCGTATCGCGCAATAACTGCCAGCCGGATTGCAACCGCTCACACTATTTGCATTTTTTCTCCATAACGAAAACACTTCTACCAGAAAGGGAAGTCACAGATTTAAAACACTTTCAACAATTGCACCATTCGATAAATTACGACCGTGCATTTTCGCGGTTAAGATTAGCAAACCGCACGGGTTTCTCACTGGAACACTGAATGAAACTGTCGAATACATTGCACAATAGTGACAGTTGCGGAATTGAGCAGCTGGCTGTGTACCAGCGACTCGGTCCAGTCCTCAAACAACAATAAAGCCTACAGGGCATTCAGCTGCCAACATGATTCCCGGTAGGAATCCAGCTTTCCTGCAACAGGTGCGCCTGTCCAATCCCTCAGCCACAACCAATTGTTTCTGAACTGCAGATTTGATTCACAAGGTCACTGCAGGCGCTTTTATGTATAGCCGTAAGTCGGTATCATTGATCGTAGAAGTGGGGATTCGGGGTCTGGGTATTTAATTCGAGTCTTGGGCAGGGTCAGTAAGGGAGAGACTTGCCTGTATTCGTGGCTGCGATGTTCCTGCTTCCACTTGTCGCAATGCCTCCGAAACACCGCGAAGCCAAACTGGTCGAAACCCAACACGCATGGCTTCTCGGTCGGGCGGCTGCTCATATTGGCCCGGGAACTGGTTTCTCAGGGTTTCCGAGCTTTTTCCCTGCCCCCAGCAGCAGCGCCCAGCTTCTCCTCCAGCCGCTGGTCCCCAGTCAAATCAAAAGCACTTTCGAATCTAGCGCCACTGCCCCTGCCACGCCCCCACTCTCTCCGGATTGGACGGGACGCCTGTTTGACAGCAACGTCCGACCAATAGAAAGCCCCCTCACCGCTGTCGGGTGGGACCAAACTTCTACCCAAGCTGAGCCCTTTGTTACTCTGATTTCAGGAAGGAGGATGGAAATTATTTTTCCAAAACATTTTCTTGCTTCCAATATCACCCCCCTTTCTTTTCCAAAACTCTTCCCCTTCAGTGTTCTCACTGCACGCTGTAGTCATGGAGCTATTCAGCTGCAAACAGTTGGCGAGAAGGAGAACAGTAAATCCATACGCTCCTGTGTATGATACTCCATATCCAGGTGTCAGCTAAGGTTAGCTAGCAGTTTTATCAATGGAGGTGATACACTTGATATCAATATATTTTAAGCTCATATTTATCACTTGATGCATTTCCACTGTAATGACATCACAATTACAAAGTAACATCACCACGGCTTTCTCTAATGTTAAGCTTCAAAATAAACATATTTCTTCAGATGCATGTTATCCAAATAAAATTAAGGTTTTCTGTTTATAATTTCGATTGTGATTAATTTAAATGCATCTTGCTCCACAATGACATGTGGAGATGCATTAAGTACGATGGAACTGCTTGTGCTAAGTGACACCTGCACGTATTTGTATCTCCTTTCTGGATGCCATATTTTCTTCAACAAAGAACAACTATCGCTGCCAGCAATGTTAGTGGCCAAATTCTTAACAGCTGGTACTTTTGTTTTAATTGTTCTTTGGATGTGGAGATTATTACCCAAAGTGGTTGCAACCGAAGAAGGGAGCCACTTCTTCATAGAGTCATAAAGTTTCACAGCATGGAAAGAGGCTCCCAGCCCTTCATGTCTGCACCTGTCATGAAGTATTGTGTCTATCTATTCTAGTTCCATTTTCCAGTACTTGGCCTGTAGCCTTGTTTGCGATGGCACTTCAAGTGATTATCTTATTTGATGGCTCCTATTCTTACCACTCTGTGAATTCCAGATACCTGCTACAAATTAATGAAATAATTCTTCCTTAATTCCACTTTTCCCTCCCACTCCTTTTATCTCAAATTTATGTCCTCTACGTCCACAAAGCAAAAATCATTCTTCCTATCTACCTTATGTCCCTCATAATTTTGTACACCTTAACGAGGACCCCCTCAGACTTCTCTGCTCCAAGGAAAACAACGACAACCTAGCTAGTGTCTCCTCATAAATGAAACATTCCAGCCCAATCGATATCTTGGTGAATCTCCTCTGCACAATGCAATCACATCCTTCCCACAGGATGGTGATTAGAACTGCACGCATTACTCCAGTTGTGGCACAACTTACACTTTTCCCACACGTTGCCATTTGCCACAATTCTGCCCATCTGACCACCCCATCAATATCATCCTGTAGTCTAAGGTTTTCCTCCTCACTATTTAGCACACCACCAATTTTTGTGTGATCTTCAAATTTATTGATCAAATCTCCCATTTTTGTGTCTGGGTCATTAATACATACGACAAACAGCAAGGGACCCAGCATCAAACACTGTGGTACACCACTTGGCACAGGCTTCTCGTCACATAAACAACCTTCAACCATCATCTTTTGCCACATACCACTGAGCCAATTTTGGATCGAATTTTTAAAATTGCCCTGGATCCCATGGGCTCTTACTTCTTGCATCAGTCTCCCATGAGAGAGTCTTGTCAAAAGACTTACCAAAGTCCACAGAGATAACATCCACTGCACTACCCTCATCCACACATCTAGTCATCTTCTCAAAAAACTCAATCAAACCTGATAGACATGATCTCCCCCGAAAATCCATGCTGATTATTCTTGAATAATCTTGCCTCTGTCAGTAAAAATTCTGACCCGCCTACCAAAGACATTTTTCCATCCCCACCCTTATCTGCTTTCTGGAGGGACCACTCTCTCTGTGACTCCCTCGTCCGCTCCACACTCCCCACCAGCTCCACCACCCCCGGCACTTTTCCCTGCAACTGCAGGAAGTGCTACACCTGCCCCTACACCTCCCCCCTCATCCTCAACCCAGGCCCCAAGAAGACCTTCCACATCAAACAGATGTTCACCTGCACATCTGCTGAGGTGGTATACTGTATCCGCTGTTCCCGATGTAGCCTCCTCTACATCGGGGAAACAAAGTGGAGGCTTGGGGACCACTTTGTGGAACACCTATGCTCGGTTCGCGACAAACGACTGCACCTCCCAGTCATGAACCATTTCAACTCCCCCTCCCACTCCTTGGACGACATGTCCATCTTGGGCCTCCTCCAGTGCCACAATGATGCCACCCAAAGGTTGCAGGAACAGCACCTCATATTTCGCTTGGGAACCCTGCAGCCCAATGGTATCAAAGTGGATTTCACAAGCTTCAAAATCTCCCCTCCCCCGACCGCACCCCAAAACCAGCTCAGCTCATCCCCGCCTCCCTAACCTGTCCTTCCTCCCACCTATCCCCTCCTCCCACCTCAAGCCCCACCCCCATCTCCTACCTACCAGCCTCATCCCGCCTCCTTGACCTATCCGTCCTCCCTGGACTGACCTATCCTCTCCCTAACTACCCACCTTTACTGGGTCCATCCCCGCCTCTTTGACCTGTCTGTCTCCTCTCCACCTATCTTCTCCTTTATCCATCTTCTATCCGCCTTCCCCTCTCTCCCTATTTATTTCAGAATGCCCTTCCCCTCCCCCATTTCTGAAGAAGGGTCCAGACCCAAAACGTTATCTTTCCTGCTCCTCTGATGCTGCTTGGCCTGCTGTGTTCATCCAGCTCTACACCTTGTTATCTCAGATTCTCCAGCATCGGCAGTTCCCACTATCTCTAAGTAAAAATTAAATCTGTCCTTCAGAGCTTTTTCCAAACGTTTCCCTACCATGTGATGATGTGGTGGAACTACTTTGGCAGTGTTGCTTAGTAGGAACTTCCAGGTTGCAATGCTAAAATGACATATATATATCAGAGTTGGGCTAGGCTGTGATTTGAAGGCTATGGTGCCCTACATCTTGCTGACATTTGAAATATGTGAATACACAGGAGATGCTTTGCAGCACATCATTCAATGCAAACTCCTGCCCTTTCTTTCCTGCACCCTTGAGGTGCTTTCATCTTCAATTACCTTTGATTTTTCATCACTTACCCTCTTAGGCAGTACAGACCAATCTCTAGTTGCCTATTGTGTCAAAAAAAAGTCCTCACAATACCTCTGGTTCTTTCACCAATCATAAATCTATGCTGTCTTGTTATCAGACCTTCAACCATTGAGGAGAAAATACAGCAAACATTTGGAGTCCAGGGACTCTTCTTCACAACTGTTCTGAATAAGGGTGACTGGACTTGAAACATTAGCTCTATTTTCATTCAATAGAAACTGCCAAATCTACTGAGTTTCTCCAGCAATTTCTGTTTTTGTTTCAGATCTTCAGCATCCGCAGTTCTTAGTTTTACTTCAACCAATAGGAACAGATTTAGCTATCTGAACTCTTTATAAGTTTAAACACATCTAACAAACCTCACCTTGGCTTTCTCAGTTCGAAAAGGAATAGCCTCAGTTTCTCCAGTCTACCCATGTAACCATAATCATCAATCCCAGGACTATTACAATAAATTTATTGTTCACTTTCTAAAGCCTTTATTAACTTGGCAGCAACATTGTTAATGTGTTATTTTATCTCTATCCCTTTTCATCTTTCTACCAAGGCAGAGTGTGTTCTTATCAATCGCCAGTGTGTAAACAGCTCCTGGAAGATACACATGTTTGAACCAGCGTAAATTACCCTTTGATTTCTTTGCCCCTTCTCTGTGTACACGTAGAATGAAATCAAATGGCAAGATTCCCACCATTAGCTTGGATTAATGAAAGCATATGTTTTGTATCTCCTGGAATTTCATTGTTCCACTATTGGTGACTGTATCTTTAGCTATCAAGAGGTTAAGTTTTGGAATTCCCTTCCTCACCCTTTCACCCTTAATTGCTGTTCTCCTTTAAGGACACCCCTTGAAACTTAACCTCTTCAGCCAAGCTTGGCGCCACTTGTCCTAATATCTGACAATGTAGCACAGTAAGAATTTTTGTTTGATAATATTTATGAAATACCTAGAGATGTCATACTATGCTTAAGGTAGATACTATGCTATACAAAGGCAAGTTGTTGTTGTAATTGCTGTGGCAGACGTTTTGGACACAGTTCTGCTTCCTTCTTGTGCAATTGTTAATTTTTAAAAAAAAGTATAAAAGACGTTAGCAATGTGCACTATATAACTCAGTATCTAAAAGAAAAATATTTAACTTTTAGGATAAGGAAACTTTCTGTTGCACAGGCAGCATTCCTGCCTCTAAGCCAGAGATTTCAGGTTCAATCCCACCCAGGACTTAATGGCCTAGAAAGAGTGACTGTAATGTCTGCATCCCTTTAATTTTCTGTATTTTTGGACTAAAATGGACAAAATTACTTTTTTAAACCAAGTACTGGGAAAGGAATTGCCACTCTTTGAAAGCGAGTTACTGGAACTCATTGTGAATTGTGTTTACACTGTTGCTTTGCAAGAAATGGGTGAGGTGAGATAAGTCACTGTTCCACAGTGGTGAATGTGTGTGAGATCAAATTTGTTTGATAATAGGTAGTTGATAGGTTTGTGTTATTGTGATCAAATGAGGGTGCCAAAGGTCATCAGCCTGACAATGCCAATTGGTTCCTGGGCAGCAGAACAGCTTGTATGTGTGGACAATGCAGACATTTCCCAAACTGGAAGAAGAGGGGGATTTTCTCAATATCTTTCAGCAGCAAAGTAACTGAAGCCTGGAAACAATCAGTCATTCTCTTCCAATATTTGATATAAGCTGTTGCTTCTAACTAGTGACTGCGATCCTGAACAGTTGATGCATTTTCAGCAAAGAATGGAGAATTTGGAAGGAAAGACCCTGGAGA